CAATGCCGAATTGCCTTTTTCATGCTCCTTGTGACAAATAAAAGCGCATTATTCAATTCGTTTGCTTGGACTTTTTTTTTTTTTTTTTTTTTTTTCTTTTTTTTTTTTGCTGCCACGACTGTGCTTCTGGCCTGTATGGTAAATGTACAACGAGCATGAATAAGAGATGCCCTATAGCAAACGAAACATCCAAGGCGGGACGAAAGTGAAAACTGGTTGTGCAACCTGTAGGCCAGTCTATTCCAGGATTGCAGAACCTGCGGTGAAGTTGTACTGACTCAGCAATAGAATAAGGAGGATCAAATGCGACGAGAACAAGCCATTTTGTCGAAAATGCGTCAACACTGGTCGCACGTGCGACGGCTACGAGTCTCGCTTTAGACTGGTCACCAGCCAGCCCATCAATAACACTCATGTTGAAGGCATCAAGTCAGATGCTGGGATCCGACCGGCCTCGACTGAGATCAAATCTCAGGACATCCACCTCCTCGGCCGTTACTTCTCAACCAAAACCATGTTTGACGTGACGTTGGGCTGCGACGAAGAAGCTAGGCAAATCCTCCAGGCCAGTCTGACTGATGCGCGTATACGACACGCAGTCTCGTCTCTCAGAGCTCTTCGGGAGGGCATCGAGACGTCCGGAGACCTTACCTCGTCGGTGGCGCATAATACCCCGAGCTATGATTATGGTCTCCGGCAATACTGCATGGCTTTGGGTGGTCTTGCGTCTATCTTGTCGTCTCCAAGCCCCAGCGGGGTGAATTCAGCATTACTTTGCTGTCAGATGTTCATCAGCATCGAACAAGCGCGAGGAAATTACGCCGCCATGGCGGAGCATATCATTGGAGGACTTGGGATCATGCGCGAGTACCGTGCAAGGCCAGATTTCGTTGCCGATAATAAATTGGTGCCTGCACTTCATTGCCAACTACCCTTGCTGGATGTTTTCATCATCAAGGTGTTTGCTGCGCCGTGTAAATTCGCAGATCCTCCAGCTGCAGCCGTGCCCGTGTGTGTGGACTCGCTTGCTCAACAGCCTGTTGAATCTTGCCCTTTTCGCACAATTGCGCCTGACATGCGAGCAGAGCTTACAATGATAGCTGAATCCATCGTTGAATTTCTCGGCAAAGTGTCGCGCGTCGAATCTGCAGGAAATGCCCTTGGACTACTATCCGAGAAAGCAGATCTTGTGGACTCGTTAGAATCATGGCTCAATCATCTTGAGCTTGTTCAGGCGGAGATCAGACCCCCTGGTCCTGAGCTTCTTTCAGTGACTTTCATGCGTTTCTTCTACTTGGTACTGAAAGTCGTTCTCTTGGGGGCGCTGGGCTCCTCCCCGGATCTTTGTGTCGTGCTACAGACCGAGAACAAACGGCTGCTGGACGTAGCCAGTAATTTGAGTGAAAGAGTAAAGACCTATAAAATGTGCACTGGGACTAGAAGTAGTTGAGAGAAGCAATTTAAAGCCCGATAATGATTGAAATCTGTTTGGTAGAAGAACTCAAAAGCAACTGTCAAACACAGAATAGCCTTGGCTTTATGTCTTATTCACTCATCACTCTCTCTCTCATCCTCGGTTACAACAACGAACGCATATTGGTGGAGCAGGAGAATGGGCTTGTGAATGAGTACGATTACATGCCGCCTACAATTACAGTAAATAAACCGAACAAACCAATCAGCTGCTGATATAGATTCCGTCCCTGAATCGGCCCACCACACCCACAAAGCTGATCAACTTCATAAATAGATCCTCAGTCCCCATCTTATTTTGTAGTGATGTCTCTTTCTCTCTCTACACACTCAAGCAGATCAGTAGCCACATCATCCAAGTCATGCATTTCCTCCTTTTCGGCGCCACAGGGCGGACGGGCCAGCACGTCGTATCTGACCTGCTCTCTCAAGGTCATACAGCGGTGGCCCTCGTGCGTACCCCAGGCAGCCTCAGACCTCGTCCTGGGCTCACTGTTGTTACTGGATCGCCACTATCGAAATCTGACATTCAAACCACTCTCTCCGCGGCGCCTTCTCTGACTCCTTCTGCAGCCATTGTCACCTTGAACACAGTCCGCGAATCCGACAGCCCTTTCGCGCCCCAACTCTCACCCCCTCGCTTCCTAGCCGACTCGTGCGCCAATATTTGTGAGGTGCTCGAGCATGCCGGCATTTATCGCATTGTAGTCATGTCGACGGCAGGCGTGGGAGATTCTTGGTCTAATCTACCATGGCTGACGAAGGGTTTTATGGCGTATACCAACATCAAGTACGCTCTGGAGGACCACAACCTCGTGGACAAGGAGATTCGGTTGACCAAGATGGATTGGACACTTGTGAGAGCTTCGAGGCTGAAATTCGACGGCCCAAAGCAGAAGCCAATTGACACAAAGATGAGCTTAGTGCAAACGCTGGGCAGCAACGGCGACGGAATGCGTCTAAGTGACAGTATAAGTGTTTCTAGTGTGGCGGGATTCCTAGTTAGGATCGCAGTTGAAGGGACCTTTATTAAAAGTACAGTGGTTGTAAGGGATTGATATTGGCTTAATATTATATTTCTGAATTGCATTTCTGCCATATTAACGACGTTCTTCTTCGTTCTCTTTTCGTGCGCGAGTCAACCCTATGGGTAACTCATGATTTCCGCCAGTATATAAGCCCTGTGAAAAGAAAGAAGATGCCATAGCAGAATTTTTTTTATGGAGGAATAAGGCGAATGGATGTAATAAGTTCAGATTGAGTTCGTCTGGTGAGCAAAGAAACCCCGTCAGCTCCCCCATAGACAAGCCATTCATTAGATTAAATGTTGCGGATGGAGGAAGTTAGCACTGGGTGTTCAAACACGCAAACAGGTATATTATCCACCTAGAGGTGTCATCCTTATAGGCTAAAACTAAACACTTTCTTAGCACATACGACCATAGGTAATGGAAAATTCGGGGTCCCGTCTGCTCCCCCATAGACAAGCCATTAACCGGCAGATTAGTAGTCAGGTGGGTGACCACTGGCGAACACCGGCTGTTGTATGTTTTATTTTGCTTTTTTGCCCCTTTGCAATGCCAAATTTTCCTTGTCTTAAATGTGCGTTTGCGCTGATGTGTGGTGCGGCTATTGAGTGGCGTGTTGGGATTGATGGTAGTTGTGGGTGTCCTCCCCAAATGTGCTATAATTGAGCGCGAATCCTATCTGGCAGAAGTTCAAAATCCAGTAACCGGCGAGTGGGAAGATGCAGGTCCGTATCATCCCAGCAAATAGATGGAGTTGAGTTTGTGGAAGGCGGCCGCTTCCAAGGCAGCACAGACACATTAAACAAGATTGACGGAGGCTATTTTACCATGCCCGCTGGCTGAATCATTTGTTTTGATCTTCCGACCTGCGCAATACAGTGGGTGTAGACGTATTTGAGCGCGTCGACGATTGGCCATCAGGCTTGGTACGAGCAATTGCCCGAACACGTCGTGTGGGCCAGAAAACTACAAGACACGGGAGCTTCCCAAACAGTTTGTCGACACTATTGAGATACAGATTATTAAGATAATTTTGGCTAGACTTGCGTATGTGTGTTTGTATTATACGGCATGTGTTGGGATAGATGCGGTTAGGATACAAATTTAGATGCCTATTTGGCTTAACAGCAAGAATGCCCAGCCATATAGATAACTTGAAACTACGCGAATGGCGGCAACAAAAGGATGAATAGCTCTCGGAAATATCGTTGATGTATAAATATAGCTATTCTTTACATTCACCTATAGTGTAGGGACTCCAATGATGCATCCTGGGTCTGTGTAGCGCTGTTCCTTTTCCCAGCAGCAAAGCCTTCCATTTAACCTCGTCAATATGGGACCAAGGAGCATTTACTACTTCGTAAAAACATTAAAACAGAATAGCCACCTTCCAAACAGCGAGTACAGCCTCAATCAAGGCTGTTCAATTGCTTCCAATTTTGGGCGTAACCATGTCCAAGAATGAACACCCCTACTTACAAAACCAAACACGTTTGAACAGCCAAGAGCCTCGAATTTTGCATTGCCTATAAACATTACGTGAATATAAACCCATCTTGTGTACCTCGTCCCAGCCTGCTCTCTTTAATGTTTTATTATATGCCATTTCCCTCAACGCATAACCAAGCACGCATTTGAGATAACTCCAGATTGTCGCTTTTTGACTTGATAGCCCACCTATATTTAAATTGGCGGTAGAATAGACAACACACTCACTCTTTCTCAAGAGACTCCACAAACAGTAGATGGTCGATCATCAGATATAGAACGTTCAAGGATTTATAAATACTAATGGAAGGAGCTTGTAAAGATGAAAGGAACGACCTCTAGCCGCAGTATTCAAGATGAACATTGCCCACCATTTTTCTCTTTGTCTTTTCATTCCCACCACAAAATGGCAGTCATCTTATTATTCTTTTGCCATTAGCCACTCTGCCTCTTTTTAGGATTCCCGGTTCGCTCTGGGGGATGCCATTCTCTGGAGACTCAGCAGTCAATAGGAACCTCCTTGGGTCCTTCGGAAGGTATACCTCCCGATAAAAGATGGTCATCATTGTCTCCAGTTCGGCCCAAGGTCTACAGTCAAGCTGGTCAGTGCTTGTACTGTCTTTTACCAACAAGGGCCAGATCAAATCCCAGCAGTCGGTTTAGCCTGACACTGGCTTGCATCGTCACATGCTACTATGCCTTCTGTCTGCTAACAAAATTGGAAACAACTAACCCCAATTACTGATTGTACATTTTTGGACATTGGTAAGGCAAGGTGAGGGTTAAATAGAAGGGGGCGTTGGGGAGGGAATAAATGCTATGGAAGCGTGGCTGGCGGGTCACGGGCTAATTTTGTGTTGGGGCAATCTTTGTATGTATTTCATCACCATTGTCTGGCCTTGGAAAAAAGAAAGAAAAGCAAATCTGGAAGCGCGTCCCTATACATGCTGGCCTCGTGTGCATGTTTTATGGGTATAACAGGTGGCGTTGGCTCTGTATAATTGTGGGTAGAAGATTGAACCGTTACTGTCATTTAGCACGGGATTGGTTAATCACTAAAAACGGAATGCTGTAACTCCAGATATGGAGTGGTGGGATACAAAATTTAAAAGGCATTACACTTAAGAGAAGTGCTACTGGAGATTATAGAATAACTTTTAATATAAAAGCAAAAAAATAAAAACATACAACAGCCGGTGTTCGCCAGTGGTCACCCACCTGACTACTAATCTGCCGGTTAGTGGCTTGTCTATGGGGGAGCAGACGGGACCCCGAATTTTCCACTACCTATGGTCGTATGTGCTGGTGTACTTCTTCAACCAGTTTATAATCATGCAACTTGAATTGGTCGTAACCGCAATCTTCCCCAACTAACTTTAAATACATACGTATGTTGCGAGGTTTGACATTGACTTACGCTCTTGTTGCCAGATATGGGAGCTTTCTATAGGTTTCGCAATGTCACGAAACATATACCGAGGAAGAAATCCAGCATGCCAGACCTTGTATAAAATTCTTCCTCCTATATGTTGAGAAATGTAATCCAATATGGGCGATAGCCGTGGTGATAAGACAATGCCAGCTAGCACCCATGCTTGCAGTAAAGCCAAGAGTAGGTTATTTCTGAGGGTGTATGCGTGTTTTTTTAAGGGTGTGTACTATTATATCTAAGTTTCAGTAGGGCGGCATCGGTACAGCCGTACATACAAACTGGTGCACTAACAGTAAATTTGTATGTATGGGAGGGATCTGCGTCCGGCCTCTCCTATCGTTACAGCCAGATTATCGTCTTAGGCGGGGTTTATTAGAACCAAGGTTTACTGCACGTAAATAATGAGACAGGGCATTTGGGCTTTGGGCTGCAATCGTTCGAAGTACATAAACGTTGAGGCAGGGCATTTAGGCAGCAATCTTTCGACATAGCCCCAAAATACTGAGCAATATAATTGTAACATATAGCTTAACTTACACAAGTGTCTACTTCCCCCCGATGAAAGCAATCTCTGATGCTTTTCTTCTCTTCTTTATTCATCCGAGATATCCTATGTCTTCTATTGTTTAAAGAAAGGGAAATGATAATAAAGATGCGGCTAAGCTGTCTGAGGTTTCCCTCAGACGATGTAGTAAATGTCAGAACCTTTGTCTGGGTGATATTACCGCCGAAGGCTACATGCTCTATTCAGACATTGCGAGTCTTTTAGGTAATATGAACGCCAATGGCGCTACTTCGTGCGATTTATGTTCTATTATACTGTCGTCACTAAGATCAGATATGTATAAGCTTCAGTCTATGAGTTGCTGCAGTGTCACCTTATACAGATATCCACCATATCATCAATTATTGGAAATGATATACGTGGTTGTGACAGAAGAAAAAAGGCGCTCCGATTTCATGTGGTGTCCTGAGGGAGATGGACGTTGGTATCTTGGCCCACCGGACGAGAAGCCTTGGCTGGTCCGTGGCTATATCACCGTATATGCTGATCTTGATCCTGGTATGTAGTATGACTATATTTGGTAGATATGTCTTGAGTTTAACCTGTATAGATTTATTCTCGAACTCTGCATGCACCATCAAGTAGAGGAGAGCGGAGTCATATTCCGGATCGAATGGCTGCTTTGATCTGGTCTCCGAATGGCTGTCAGACTGCCTAACGAATCATCATGGGAGGTGTCCCGTTAACGAAAACTCTCCTTTACCTAGGAGAGTAGTGGATGTTTGGCCACCGGATGGCTCTAAGCAGCCTCTATTGGTCACAACAACCGAGGGTCAGACAGGAAAGTATATCGCTCTCAGTTACTGTTGGGGTAAAAGGCCATTCTTTACATTAAGAAGTTCGAATTTGGAACAGTTAAAACAAAGCATTCCACTAATATGTCTGCCGCAAACTGTCTATGACGCCATCACATTAGCAAAACGATTGGATGTTCGTTATATATGGGTAGACTCTCTCTGCATCATACAGGGCCAAGATCACAAGGCAATTAGAGATTGGGAACGAGAAGGGCAGCGTATGGACAAAGTCTTCCAATGCCTTTTTTCACGGTCAAAGCCACGGGGGCATCTGATGCATACCAAGGGCTTTTTAATCATCGAACCCCCCCATTAGGTCCTTGTTGCACATTTCCCATCGACCGAGATCAATCCAGACTGGTTCATCTTGGCCAAAATGCCAATATTACGTTGCCGATAAATGAGCCGTTAGACCAGCGTGGATGAGCTTTTCAAGAAGCGCTACTTTCCCTACGATGCGTCTCATTTGGGAGCGAAGAGCTCTCTTGGAAGTGTCAAAGTTCCAGCAGAAGAGAATATGCCTCGGACAGTATAGCATTCCAAAAATCATCAATTAAAAGGGAAGAGCCAGGCCAACTGCGTTACAACTGGAATGATATTGTGGAAGAGTATAGCTTAAGGAGCTTTACTTTTGTCTCTGATAAATTGCCTGCAATAGCAGGACTTGCGCGGCTTGGCAGTACTCCTCGAGATGAGTACTATTTTGGTGCATTTAAAGATAGCATAATACCGTCGCTCCTATGGCATCATCTTGGCCGGATTGAAAATGGAAAGTATGAGCATGTGAAACAGGATAACATGCGACGACGAGCGCCTTCGTGGTCTTGGGCTTCTGTGGATGGAAAGGTTAATTTTCTAACCGGCTATAACAATGATTCTATCGACATCAAGGAATTTCGAATGGACGGTTCTATTTATCTTGAAGGGCTTATTAAAAAGGTTGATACGATGCGCTTGCAAATTTCTGCAAATTATTACGGCGGATACGACAACTATTTACCATGGGCAAAGATTTCCTCTTGGCGCAAAAACGTACTTGGATAGCCTTGCCGCTATCCCACCTTCTCATCATAAAATCACCCCGGGAATCACACCAGAACTATTGGACGTGAGGTTTCTATATCTTGGGACTCACTGCGGTCTCATTTTGATAAAGGAAACAAATAATTTGCCAATCAGAATGATAAATGACAAAAACAACTTATGGACTAGAAGGGGACTAACTTTGGCATTAGCATCAATGGCGACGGGACGCAGATTAGGAGAGCGACTCCGCCAAATTTGCGATACCGATTGCGCTAACAAGGATAACATAGACGAAGAAAGAGAAGGGGAGAACGAAAAAGAGGAAAGCGGCGAGTTTAGGTTTCATTATCGTCGACACTCCTTTTTGCGTATAGGGGCATTTGAAGGAGTTGAACAGGGGAGAGACTGTAGCCATGCAAAACTGTTGCTCAGGTAGCTTACATGTACTAACGATTGTGAAAGAGGAGGGCTACCTTCAATAGAAAGGCAGCAGTCTAAGTAGATTACTTCATTCTTCTTAAGAAATTGCGTGTATGTCTCACCTAAGGGCTATATTTGTGTTTGAGACCGTCGAAATTCCCAAATGTTTCCTTTTCCATGTCAAGACGCATGGATTCACGTGGTTTGTATAAGGCTCAAGGATAGAAATCTATTGTTTCTTTGAGATGCTAGGCGCCACTAAATAGCCCTCTTTCTAGTGATCTGGTACAATCATCAATGAGTCCAGAGCCATAACTTTTTCTACGTCAGCATTTGACTGTGGCGGTGCATTCGCTGGTCCTTTAGTCAAAGTTGGGAAGAAGTAGCCTGAAACAGCCTTGTTTAGCTTTGCCTTATTTTGGGAAATTTCTCCAATATCGCATATAAATAGCAAAGCATAGTTGCAAAGACCGAGTTGTTTTGATTCAGATGCTGCTGCGAAGGGCCGAACCCGAGAGCAACATGGGCCTTGAAACTGATGGCGACGCTGCTCGTCTGAGTCTAGCCAAGCGGCGTTTAGAAGCACGACGATTTGGCCTTTAGTGCAACGCCCGCTAAAAATGAAGCGGCTATATAAATGCTGCGACAAGTAGATAGATACCTAAACTGCTAGTTCAATTAGTTTGAAAAACGGAGTCCTATAACTCCAGAGTTAGAGTCATGGGATGTAAAAAAAAAATGGAAAACATCACGCTTAGAGCATTACGATACTGGAGATTATAGAATAACTACGCCGACCTTGTAACTAAATATAAAAGCAAAAAAGAAAAAACATACAACAGCCGGTGTTCGCTGATGGTCACCCACTCAACTACTAATCTGCCGGTTAGTGGCTTGTCTATGGGGGAGCAGACGGGACCCCGAATTCTCCACTACCTATGGTCGTATGTGCTTGGTATTCTATTGCAACAGCTTATAACAGCTTCATCATATACAGCAGCAGCTGGGACGATTCATGCAAGCTGAGCTGCGGCAATACAACAACAGCTCAGTAATCGCACTTGGAGCAATACACTATAACCCTGCACTCCCATTCACTCAACAATCTTACAAGACGACAAAATTTGTTTTTCAACAATCAAGCCCGCCAACAAATAAACAAAGTTACCTACAAAAATATAAAAATAATACACTTCCGCCATACTGGCTCATCCCACACAACAATTAGTCAGACCAGCAGCACATTAAAAAAAAAAAAAAAAAAAGTCCTCTCAAAAAATCCAACATGATTCATCAAAAAAAAAAAAAAAAAAAAAAAAAAAAAGACAAATCATCTTACTCGAGCAAGGCAAGGCTTTCACTTAATTAATTAAACACCACACTCCTCTTTTTACACACCCCCTAAAACAGCAAGCAGTGCAGTAGGAGTAAAACAACAACAATCCTCCCCAAATTACAAACCATGAGCCATTCATTCCCGAAAAATCCTAAAATCCCAAAAGCATTGATAATCAGTACTACCTACATATGAACGTATGTACATACATGTACAGTAAAAACAATAGCGTTGCATCCCTCTCACATGACCTAGAATGGACTTAGACAAATCCCAAAACAGCCAAAAGATTGCATGCAGTCCAATTACTAAAAACAACTCTTGGCTGCTTATTATTGATCCTTGGGTATTACGTACGCAAAGGTACCCATGTACTTTAGGGCTTAGGCTTGGTACCTAGGTACTTTGGTAGTGGAGATGGCAGAGAAAGCCCCTTTGATAATGCGTCTCAAGGCAACGTGGCTCGGTAACGTGGCTCGTTTGTGTGTATACGTACTCTCGTACCCTACAACAAAACAAGAAGAAGAAGGGGAAATTTAGCAACGAACCCAAGATCTGTGGCAAAGGTTGGATCTATTGTGGCAATTCAATGCGAAATATTTTATGCTGGGTTAATTTTAGAACACGTCACTGCTTATGCGAGAAGTGAGACACTGCAGGTTGTTTGTATGCGGCTGCACAATTTAATAGCCATGTTGAAATAGATAAAGCTACTACTATACATGATAATTTTGTTTGTCTATCCAAAACCAAAAAAGTGTTTTTAACAAGGTGTAAGAAATCAAGATGAAGGAAAAGGAAAAGGGACCAGAGAATTAGAAAGTAGCATCAGAAAAGCCATCTGCTCTGAAAATTCCATTTGTATTGTTTTAATCCTTTGTGTATGCGCCCATTGCCGTCATGTAATATCATCCCGTTTCTCCGGGTGTCTCGAATGCATTTTTTTGGGTCCCAAGATGATCCAGTCTGGTGGACCTTTGTGATCTTTAATAATACAATTCTCCCCAAGCAAGCTATTTCGGAGAAACAAAAGAAATAAGAAAAGAAATGATGAATCAGGTCAAGCGCTGCAAAAGAAAAAGAAAAAGACAAAAGTGTTTGTTTGGTCTATCCGAAATGATCCCTTTCCAAATGTAGCCCCGCTTCCCAATCGCTGCAACAAGATGAAGTAATTGCAAGTAATAATAATAATAATAAGTCGACAGTAGTAGTAGTACAAATACAGTGATGATGACGAAAATAAAAAAAGAAAGGGATAGACAAAAAGAGAAGCGACAAGGAAAATCCAATTCAGCCGCAGAGCCAAGGATAAGAAGTAGCAATTGGTGGTGTGCATCATGATCGCGTAGCATTCGTAGGAAAACAGAAACGGTAAATCAATTCGCGAAGCGGGAGGGGGTGAGTGTAAACTCTCTCGTCAATGTGAAGCCAGAAGCGGCATGGTGCGACGGCGTTGCGAGGTGATGCTGAGGTGGTTTCATTTGGCCCGAGGATCGTAGCATCATTGCGAGCACCGCGCTGTCGTCATTGCGGCCTCTGCTCCCCAGCGATGCACGCATTGCGGGCATGGCAAGCAAGCTGGCACGACAATGGTTGACGAGAAATCAGGGCACGACCAGGCGTGGGTGATGTCAGCGGTGGAGGTGGCATGAGGTGCGTGACGTCAGCGCCGCCGCTGCACCAACCAGGACCCTGCAGCTGCAGCAGGACCCTGAGACCCACCCGGCGACCTGCTGGGTCCGCAGAGCTAGGGAGGAGAACACCAGAGAAGACACTGGCATCTTCTCATTGGCTGTGGGCGGCCGCCTGAAGTCGAGCGAAGCGCACCATTCCCCCGCAAGGGAGCTGGAGCAGCGCCAAGATCGCCCATCTTCGATTTGCGGTGCCCCTCCATCAGAGCGCCATCGTTTTCGTTGACGTTGACTGATGCTATTCCTCCTCCCCCTTTATTCACCCAAGGGGAAAAAAAAACGTCATACAGTGATGACAATCATTTTTTTTGTTGGTGTTGAATCAAGGATGGAGAGGAGAAAGGAAAAAAAGGGAGCAAGAGATCTAGGCTCCACCGCGTCGTCGGTGCTTGCCGGGGAGCTCAACATCAGGGTGGCAGACTCGGTAGTGTCTCGTCAGTGCATCAGCACGGCTGAATGTCTTCTCCTCGGTACACAGGTTGCAGTGCACCTTTTGCTTCTTGGCGTTGTGGATCGTGTCCTCGTGCCGTGTCAGGTCGTACGGTCGCGAGAAGATGGTATTGCAGGGCTTGCCGGTGCTGGGGTTGATGCGATCGCAGCGGTGGGGTCCGGCCTGGCTGTTGAGCAGGCTTGAAGTCATGCCGCTGTGGTCGTGGTGCTGCTGCTGTTGGCGAGCACCGCCCAGTGCGTGCGACTGCCTGTGGCCCTCGCGTTTGTGCTTCTGGAGTAGACTAGGCGTCTCAAATCGTAGCGTGCAGCCGTGATAGGTGCAAGTGTAGGTGCCCCCATCGGCATTGGCGCCGGCAGGGCGACTCTGCGGGACGGGAGTGCTGTAAGCGGCCGATCCGGATGTATTGGAGTCAGCCGAGCTCAGCTGGGAAGCTGATGCGTCGCCGGTTGCTGGCGGATAGGCAATGAATGGATATCGCTGTGGCACCTGTGCAATGCCCCCGTGCTGCTGCGATGGTACGTGGTGGTGGTGCATGCTGTGGCTTGCGCTGTCCCCCTGGCCATAGCCGCCGGATGCCGCAGCCCCGTTGTCGGGAAGTATCCTGCCCATGTGGTCCATTCCAAAGTTGATGGGCTGGTGAGAAAACAGAGGCATGTTGGGCTCCTCCGATGACTCATTAAACTCGAGAACGGCATCCTTGGGTGAGATGGTCTGGGGCGTTGCGGGCTGGGTTGTCTTGGCCATCTGCTGCTGGAAAAACTGGGCGTCGTGGTGGCCGCCGCGGTCTTGGCCGGGCATGTGAGGCTGAGAGTTGATGGCCACGCCGCCGTGAGAGGCAGCCCAGTCGTGCAGTGGCGAAGGCGCAAGTGGAGAGCCGTGGCGGAAGGGGGAAATGTCTCGAGACATGCTCGAGGTGGGCGAGTGGTGGTGGACGGTATTGAGATGCTGGCTATTCGCGGCATTGATGCGCTGGTTGAAGACGTCGTTGGGGGCGGCAGTCACCTGGCTCTGCTGGGGCGAAGAGGTAATGGTGAAGTTTGGGTTGTACAGCTCGTCGCCGTAGACGTCGGTCATGGTGCGGCCCAGCTTGGGGACGTTGCCGTTGACGTGGCCTGCTGTGAACAAAAGTGAGTCTTCATGATCATTGTCGTCGTCATCAGCCACCAGGACGGGGTCTCGGGGTCGGCGCCTACCTTGCTGCCTTCTTCTATCGGACAGATCCATATCGCCGGTAATGGGCGTGGCGGGTGAGTCGCCCGCTATTGAGCTTGCCACAGAGGCGGGATGTGATCGGGTGAGGCCGTTGGCAAAGTCGGGCGCTGGGAGCAGGTTGCGGTCCTGTCGCAGCTTGTGGTGGCCGGCGCCAGGGCCCTGGATGACGGGATATGCCATCTCGACGGGGGAGTGCTCCATGTGGTGGAAGTTTGAGTAGGGCGCCATGGTCTTTGCCAGCTGGTAGTAGTTTGGGCTGATGTCGCTGGAGTGGATGTCCATGAAGCCGTCACCATTGGCGTCGGTGACGGCGATCTGGGGGTTCGCGATGTGCGAGTTGAAGGGCGACGCCGGCCCTGTTGAGCCCAGCGAGGACAGAGAGGACTCGCGCTGGTGGGCGAGACGGCCAAACTTGGGAGTCGAGAACCTTGCGGCGGCTTCCCAGGAGTCGGGCCGCATCGAGTCGGGCGACAGGGCGTTGATGATGGCGGCGTCCAGGGTCTCGAGGTTGGACGAGGAGAGCTCCGTGGACGGGAAGACGGGGGACGAAAAGGTGAAGTCGGTGCTGTTGTCCTGGCCAAAGGTGAAGTCGCCCAGCTGGCTGTGGTGGTGATGTTGATGCGGGTGATGGGAGTAGCTGTGATCGCTGACGGTGCTGGTGTACTGCTGCTGTCGTTGATACTGGTCGAATGTTGATGGTCTGTGGTCCACAGATAGCATGGTGGTTGAAAGTAGAGATTGAGATTTTGCGGATTGCAAAGTGCGATCTGACGGCGATGTGGTGGCAAAAGGCTTTGCTTTATATCGTTCCAGGACGCCAGCGCCGGGCCTACCGGTTTCGTCAACGTCGATGCTTGGAGGGCTGGAGACAGTTCGGAGGGAGGGGGGGCGTGCGGGACGCGGGACGCTACGAGATGGAGGGGGCGTGCGGCAGAAAGTGGGAAGCGCCGATGCACTAGCGCGGATGCAATACGTACTGCAGGACCCAAGGACCCAAAGAGAAGAGACCAGAATCAGACCCAGACAGCCCCGAGCACGCAGGCTCAGCCGGCCAGACTAGGCGCTGCCCTGCCCTGCGAGAATCTGCCGACAGGAGCATCCGGGGAGCCGCGGCTTTGGCTTTGGGCTGGGACGGTCGACGGTGCCAGCAGCAGCGGTTGGGTTTGGTAATCCAGGCTTTGGCTTTGATTTGATTGATTACACACGCAGCACAGGAATTGCCCATCCCGGGAGCAGCTGTGCGCAAATGGGGAAAAGCCCTCCGCGCAGATGCAGCGGACAGACTGAAAAGCCTTTGCGCTGCCAGCTCCGAGCGTTCCCTGGCCTGGCAAAGATGCGTATGACTAAGTTGCGCTTGGGTCGGCCGCGCAGCCAGTCATTTGTCATGCAGGACAAATGAAAATCAAATCACCGTATGCGTATGTGTGTGTGCGCGAGTGATTGAGTGAGTGAGTATGCCATCTCCTCCGGGCCTTTTGCATGGCCTGCGTTAACCTCGGCATGGGGCGCGTATGTGCGTCGATGAGTCGTAAGGCGATGAGTCGTAAATCGTCGAGCGAATGAGTGAGTGAGTGAGTGTGAGCGAGTATATACAGCCAACAGCATCTGCCGTGCCGTGCTTGCTACCTACGGGGTCTAGGCAATCGAGGGTATACGACAGCCGCATACGAGGCATCGCAGCAAACCGCATCGTAATCGGCTACCCTATTGCTGCATCATCCATTTGCTTGGCTCTTTTTTTTTTTTTTTTTTTTTTTTTTTTCTTTTCTTTTTTCCTCTTCCTTCTTCTACAGTCCTTTTGCGCGGCCTTGGCTCGGGACTTGTCTGGAGTACTGTGCCGCACCACTGCCAAATGTACCCCCCCCCTACCTTAGCAACTCTGCATACTTTCAACTTTCACCTCCCAGGCACAGCCGCACAAAGAGTTGCATTAGCCCCATTCGATGTGGCTTGTCGCATAAGGTTCCGAGCGAAAGCCGCTTCTCCGCCGCGAATAGGCGTGTCCCAAGCCCAGCAGAATTTTTTTTTCTTGACAGGTCAAGCCACACCTTGTGTTGCGCCAGCCGGTACTGGTAGACGGTAGTCACTTCTGGAAATTTCCCCGACAAACACTGAACAAGACTGCCTTTTTAGAGTCACACAGCCCTGCAACTCTGATTCTTGACAGCCCGAGCTTAATTTATTTTTCACACAATCGCTTCTCCGTTCGGCGTCGTCAAGGGCCGTTTCATTGTTCCTTTTCGCCGAATGGCGTCTCCTAACTCATGCAGCCTCGGCCGGCGATATGCAATGATGCCAACGGAGTAAAGTACAAGACGAAGCGCGAGAAGCAACCAACCAACCAAACTAAAGACAAGAAGAAAGAGAAAAAAAAAAAACCTGAATGTGACTTGTACATGGACTTGGCGCAGGCCCCGATCGCCAGATCCCTGCCCAGCGGGATGCTGGACGGGTAGCAGTACATACAGTCAACGTTAACTGCAGCAAGGGGAGCAAGCAAGCAAGGCAAAGCAACAGCAAAAGCAAGATTTCTCATTGGGCCCCTCAGCCACAGCGCACGACATTCACCTGCGACCTCACTGGTGGGAAGATTTTTTTTTTAGAACCTTCTTCCCCCTGTACAGAGGTAGGTAGGTACTTGCCCTGCAGTCTTTGCTGTGCGAGGTACATTGGCACGAAGGTCACATGACCCTTGTCATACTTTGCGGCTTTACGGCATACGGCAGTGCAGCGATAAAATAAGGGATTCGGATTTTGAATCGCTGGCCCATTTCGGGGATACAGCGCCATTACTAAGAGGGGGGGTGTGTGTCGTTGCTAATTCATTTACTCTGACCGTTGCCATTCTAAGCACCAATTCGAAGAAAAACTTGTTGCTCACTTGAGCAAACCTAAAGACCCAAAAGAGAAGAATGAATTAGAAAAAATAAGAAAAGATTAAAAAAAAAAAAATGGCAAGATGTGCACCTGTTGTGCTCGTCCCATCCATCTAGCTGATGTGTAATCGCATGATTTGGCATGCCGTAGCATGTGCGTTGCGTGACTTTTACTGTGTGGTGTGCACCACGACCACTGCAGCACTGCGATGCGCTGCGCTGCAACCGATGCCAAGAGTACCTCCATGTACAGCAAGTTAGTACCTACTAGGTAGGTAGTCTTTTTCCACACGCACTCTCTCTCTCTCTCTCTCTCTGATAGGCATCTTGCTCCTCAACAAAAAGGACCACATGTCGCATCTCGTGTCTGCAATGCAAAAAGACGCTGCGCCAAGCGAAGCGAAGAAAAGCAGGAGCCCAAAATAAAAGGGGGTGGGAGCGAAAGCGAACCGGGGAAATAACAAAAAAATAGAATGGAAGAAAAAATTTTCATTCTCGAACCCTTCCCATTCTGCGCTTCTCCTGCAGGTGCCGGTGAAACGTAGGCTCGGTTGTGTGTGCGAGATGCATCTAAAAGCTGCAGTTTGTCGGGCAGGCCGAAAGAGCTGCAGCGTCTCGGAGACCGCCGCGTGGTTGCGGTTGTTGGCGCTGAAAGGGCTCGACGCTTCGCACTGTCGCATCGCTCAGCCACACCCTCTTTTCCCGCCAGATCTAGCGCCAGGCCTTGCATGCAATCGTCTGCCGGCACTAGGGAGGCTGAGAAAAATAAGATTCGTCTCGGCCTGATCGACGCTGCGAGCCGCGCTGTTTCTGATTTTTATTCTGGACGGGGGTGAAGATTTTTCCACGCTTTCTCTCGATTTCCTTCTGTTTTGGGCAACTGCGGGCTGGAAACTATCGGGTTTCGCCTCCAGCACACAAACAACTGCTCGTACGTACTCAGCTGTTTGACTACTGCACACACACAACCAAGACCTTGCTCGGCTGAGCTTGCGCCGGCGGCAGATGGATTTGTTACGGGGGGGTGTGAGAAGCGACGGGCCACTCAACTTCACTCGCTCTGCGGTGCCAGCTGCTGGATGGGGGTCATTAAAGCCACACCATAACCGAACCCTTGGAATCGGTATCGCATCGGCGTATAGCAGAAACAACTTGCGTGTAAATCCAAAAGTTAGCCCAGAGGCGTGTGATTAAATTCGCACGTCAACAAAACGATAGCTTCAAGAGCAAAGAGTCACAGCCAGCCGAGTCTCGTGACGTTGCCAATCGGCCAACTCGGGCCCCGGTCGGAGTCTGGGCAGAGCCATTCCCCGGAATCGCGGGTCCGGAACGCCATGTTCGCTCCAACTCGCTCCAAGCCAAACCCGCCGCGAGCCCAGCTGCTGTGCGAGATTTCCCATCCCAATCGCTTCCAACTGCCAGGGCTGCCCATCTGCCGCAGGACCCTCCCGCGCCGCGCCGCGGATGTCGGGGAAGAGGCGAAGTGTTTGCGCTTTCAACTTTCTCTCTCTGTCTCTCTCGCTCGCTCTTGTCTAAGCTAAGGTAAGCAGCATTTCATTTCGGAATATGCCGCCGGCGGAACGGCGGGTGATGCTTGCGAGGTGCCCGGCTGCTGAGGCAGACATTATTCAGAACCGTCACTGCCGCCATCATGGCCTGGACGATGGATGGCTGTCTAATCTCTCTCTCGGCGTTTGTTTGTCAGTTGAATGGTTCAGTAGGATTCATGGTATGTAGTAATGAAGGCACTGTCATTTGTCAAGAGTGAAAAAAAAAATGGGGATGCCTTGTGATAGGTACCTCCTGTATGGAACTCGCGCGAGTACATGCATTAGAGCCAGCCATCCAGCTGCAAAAAAAAAAAAAAAAAAAAAAAAGTGTTAGGAGAAAAAGAGAGAAAGAGAGAGAGACAGCACTGGGTGCAACAACAGGCGACCCAATAGTGCGATGCAATGCGCCGTGGATGGCCCAACATGCAATAGAATGGCGATACACACATGCTATCGGTGGGCTGGGGGTGGCATGCTATGCCAGATGCGATGCATCACATCAGCCCAGGCCTGTCATCTCAGATCAGCCGCATGGAACATGGTGCCAGGCATGGACAGACGTGACACGTGCATGCTGCTAGTAGCAGTAGTATTGATGATGGATTCAGTCAGTATGTCTGTCTGTCTGTCTGTCTGTCCATCCACCGATATCGCGCGCAACAGCAGCCTGTTCAGCTGCCCATTCACTCATCTCATCCAATGTTTCCACTGCAAGCTTCATTCAGCCCAGCCCAGCTAAGCACAGCCCAAACCCCCCCCACAATCTCATTCTCTCCCTCGCCATCTCTGCCATCTTTTTCATCTCATCTCATCCCATCCCATCTCATCCACGCCCATACAACACACCCATCACCAATCGCATCGCATCGCATTGCCCCTCATCCACTGCATCCATCCATTGGAGACTGCCCTCCGGTCTAGATTCCAGCCGTGTGGCTCGTTCTCACCACGCCGGGCTCCACCTCGTCGGATCGCCTTTACCCGCCGATGCAGATCCGTTCTAGGCCTTGCAGGTAACCAGCAATCCGTGCCCCCCCGCCACGTGGATGCGTGTATGTATGTACTTTTGTTTTATACATACTACATGCATGCAACTCGATGCTCCTCCGAATCCCCCTCCTTTGCAAGGGCACCGCCGTAGGTGAGAAACAAGATATAAAAAAGAAAAGATATTAAAAAAATAAAAATAAAAATAAAAATAAAAAATTCAGCTCGTATCAAAAGTCTGCATCGGCACACCCGTTGGTCGTCGCAAAAAAATGCCCTGCCCAGCTGCGACGTGCCTTAGTACCTCTCCTAATGCATGCATGTAACCTGCACACGTATGTACAGTCCCCTATAAAATACATGTAGCCTAATGCAAGGTTCCAGTTCTAAAATTTTCCCCGTATCCGCGGCCCAGTTAACAGCGAAGCGAAGCGCGGTAAACCAACTAGACATAGGCAGTTGATAGGGCTGCTGCTGCTGCTGCTGCTGCTGCTGCTAGCATTTCTTCTAGTGGTGGTGGCTGCTGGCTTGGCTGGTGCTACTATTTTAATCCGCAGACTCGGTCTCGCTGCTGTTCCGCTGTGCAGGGATCCCGCAGCCAGTCTCGGCGGGGGGTGTTTGGCTAGTAATCGCTCCTCCTCGTGCGCAACTCGACAGAAACCCCGGATTCTCCATCAGCCATTGGACCGCGAGGCCAGCCTTGCTGCTCTGCCAAGGACAGCATCAGAAGCCAATCGCCTAGCATCGGGTCAATTTTTTTTTTGTTTCTTTGTTTCTTTTTTTCTCTGTTGTTTCTTCTTGCATTTCAGGCATCAAGTATAGGTGTTCTCTTTAGGCAAACAACTGGCAGATAGTACCCAGCAGTGAGTCGTAGCGTCATATACTCCGTACCTGTACATACAGAGCCCAAAACCCTGCATAGCGCATGAGCGTCCAACCACATGACTGCTCGAACCACTTCTCTCCCTTCACCACGAGATGCACTCCGTCGGGCTGCTGCTTGGACAACCCCGCCGCTGCAAAAATCCCAATATTGGCTTCGTTTCCATGCTGCTTTGGCTACTACTAGCATAGCAGGTGTGTAATGAGTCATGACATGGCCATACTGTATTGTCTGTGTATCTTGGCACCCAACAACTTGGCACCAAGGAAGGGATGACTGCAGGCGATATATTGCCAATAGGCCGTAACTCGCATACGGCTGAAATCTTCCCCTCTCCTCGCCCGCTCCTCGCCCGCTCAGGCGTGCTTAGGCATACCCAAAACTACACACTAGCAGCATCAAAAATGTAGATTGGGTCATGACTCTCTCAAGCTCGTTCTATGTACTATACAGTTCAGGCTCCACCTTGGACATGGCAATTCGTACAAGTATGATCCGTATGCTTTTGTTTAGACAGCGTTGACGCGTCACGCGCCACGAGACCAACACAGCTCTCTCTGCTCCTCACTCTCTCTTCTCAGCAAGCCCGAATACGTTCAAGTTGTGAGTCATCATTCATTTCGTAGGCGAATAATCACAGAGGTACATGGCACATGGATACATCGACACGCAGCATCGTTCACGGTGAGGCAACATTTACTCGGCGTTTTTTGGAGTGAATACGTGATGCTGTATTTCAAGGCCACCACTTTGATAGTTTCATATTACCCCCGTTCAGAGGCCAACCCATTTCCCGGTACGTTTGGTTGTACAGTACAAAAACTCAGAAAAAAAGCAATGACCCGCGCCCATAGTGAAGAAAAAGCCCAAATCGTAACAAACAACGCGAATAACACATTATGTCGACCCGACTCAGCGGCAATGCGCTTAGCCACCGAAACCGTACAGGGTGCGGCCCTGTCGTTTCAGGGCGTAGACAACGTCTAGTGATGTGACGGTCTTTCGCTTGGCGTGCTCGGTGTATGTGACGGCATCACGGATGACACCCTCGAGGAAGGACTTGAGGACACCACGGGTCTCCTCGTAGATCACTGTGAAGGGGCCATGTTAGACACTTTTTTTTTTTTGACTTGATGCATGTTGTGATGAGAGGCAGATGTAGAAACTTACTGGCAGAGATACGCTTGACACCACCACGACGAGCGAGACGTCGGATGGCGGGCTTGGTAATACCCTGGATGTTGTCACGAAGAATCTTACGGTGACGCTTGGCACCGCCCTTGCCGAGGCCCTTGCCGCCCTTGCCGCCTATAGCATGAATGTTAGCCAATGCTAAGAGACTTTGTGTGTCTGTGTATGGAAGAGGTGGCGATGTTTGATGGTTCAGAGACGCGTCAAGGCCCGAGGCTGAGAGGCAAGGCTGAAAGCCTCGAGTGGCAGCTACCAGGCAGCCGGGACCATGGACACGTCTCCACCCATCGATAGTGATGATGAGGTTGATCGAGATGTTGTTGATACTGATGATGCTGATGCTGGTTGGTGTTGGAATAGGCACAGTCTATTACTTACGTCCAGTCATGATGATAGAAAGTGGGTTGGTTTAAAGTTGAGATGGAGAATTCCGCGATGAGCTACGCGAAATAAAAACAAGATCGAGATGTATAGACGGTCGTATCGAAAAAGAGGGGAGGGAAAAAAGGCAGCTGGGCTTGTGGCAACACGCCAGTTTAAGTAGCAGCGGCCCAAATCACTGATCGATTCCGGGAGAGACAGAAAATCGGGGGGCCCAGGGCGCCTGTGGAGCCGCGCGCAGCTGCTGTGGGTTCCGCGTTACTGATCTTGAGAATTGCCTACCGCTGATTGTGTGAAAAAAAAAAAAAAGCGACGCAGAGGTACGTACCTTCTCCCTTTTTTTTTTTTTTTGTTTGGCGTGCCCTTTTTTTTTTTGGAAAGGCGCTAGAGAGAGGGTGGGGGCGGCACGTATTTTTCTTTCGTGTCTCGAATCAACACGATCAAGTCACGTCCAATCTGGTTACAGCGTTTTAATTTGTGGTTTTTTGTTTTAATATGTCGATATGGAGAATGAGGCACGAGACACGCTATCGCAGGCACCTCCACCTAGTTGTATGTGTAGTATGTAACAATACTAGTAGTACTACGTCCTAGTGATGCTGTGAAGCCAGGCCCATGGAGCAGGATGCAGCCGAGTCTGCCTCGTTGGATGGCAACGGCTGCGTAGTGGCAACGGGGCAATGCTCTGCTGCTGCCGGCAATGCTGCGGGAGGGGCTCCTGGCAGTTGGATCTGGGGCTGGCGAGTCCACACATGGAGCTGCGTTGGTGATGCTGCGTCTTGTTGTTGTAGTACCTATTCATACTAGCAGTATCTGTAGTGCACGAGTACATATAGGTGTTTGTATAGAAAATCACGGCATCATTATTGAATATACATTAGCAGTAGAACTGATATAACCTACGGCAATTATCGTATACTCTCAGCTTCAATCACAATGCTCTGTCCATGATACATGGATCCCTTCTCTCCGTGCTCATCATCACTTATCCACGAGCCGTATCAAGACACGCAGTTATTTTTAGCAGCGTGTGCTGGTGCCACTGTAGCTTCTTTGTTTAATCCATCCCGACATGACAAGCTACAGCACTATCCGGATCTGTAATTAGATTGCGATTTCAGCTGAGTGTCTGTCCATGTAGTTTTACATGTAGCCGGGAATGTACTCCAAAGCCAAAAGAGTGGCACCATTTAGTCACAGATGCAGCATGAACCAAGTATCCAACCGGAGCAGCCCAGGATGACGCAACACCACAAAGAAACCAATCAAAAACATCCCATGCACTGAAATATTAAAATACAACATTAGAAAATATCACAAACTGCAAAACTCCTCAAACCCGTCCCATAAACTAGGCATCTCGTCGTAAATCTCGCATCTCGCTCTCCCATCCAGGGTAGGCTGAAATGCCACCACAGACGGATGGATGGGTACATGCAGAGGTACGTACATGAGGCTAGTTAGTGGCAGGCTGCAAATCGAATCTTGGCTGCGATCGTAAAAAAAAAAAGGGCGAACAAAAAAAAAAAAAAACAAACCGCTGATGGACCAATCAGAAAAAAGGACGCGCTCGTCCCTTTTTTTTTTCTTGGCTAGCATTGCATCAGCACGTTCTGGATTGGGCTCTAGCGCCGGTGGGGGCGCGCGTTGTGAACCGCGATGTAGAACTTGACGGGGTTTCCACCATGATCTCGTACCGGAACCGAGGTTTTGCCACTTCCGCGCCCGAACCAGCGCTGCGGCCTCCCCTTTTTTTTTCGCCCTTTCCCACGGCCCACGCTAAGCAAAATCACTGCGCGCCGCAACAGGCCAGAACAGCCCGAAACAGGCCCCCCCCCAGCCCAACGCCCAGATCAGCCGCCACCGCTAGGCTCAACTATTAAAGGTCCTCCCCCGCCTGCCGCTTCTCCGAATCTTTCCCTTCTGCACTACACTTCCCTCTGCCCCACCAAGCATCATCGTTTTTATTTTTTCATCAGCAGAAACACCCTCACAACAGTCATCATGGCTCGTACCAAGCAGACTGCCCGCAAGTCCACTGGTGGCAAGGCTCCCCGCAAGCAGCTCGCCTCCAAGGCCGCCCGCAAGAGCGCCCCCTCCACCGGCGGTGTCAAGAAGCCTCACCGTTATAAGCCCGGTACCGTCGCTCTCCGTGAGATTCGACGATACCAGAAGAGCACTGAGCTCCTGATCCGCAAGCTCCCCTTCCAGCGTCTGGTAAGTTGATCATGGGATGCTTCCATCTTCGTTCTAAAATCATTACTAACACCGCATCTCCAGGTCCGTGAAATCGCTCAGGACTTCAAGAGCGACCTTCGCTTCCAGTCCTCCGCCATTGGCGCCCTCCAGGAGTCCGTCGAGTCCTATCTCGTCTCCCTCTTCGAGGACACCAACCTGTGCGCCATCCACGCCAAGCGTGTCACCATCCAGAGCAAGGACATCCAGCTCGCCCGCCGTCTCCGCGGTGAGCGCAACTAAAAAGCTCCCATAGAGGGTGCTTTTTCTTTGTGATTTTGAGAGGGATACCACTTTGGAGGACAAGAAGAGAGACATGACTTTTGCTTTTAACACGAGTGTTTATGGGGTCAAGGGATAATCCAAGGCGTTAACAATGAGACTTCTGTTTTTTACTATTCCCAATACTATGGTTCGGGATGTATATTACATGCGCAGCCCGGGAAAAAGGATCTGCCTAAATGCAATCGAGGCTCGATGCCTCACGGTTTAACGAATCATAATACTTTGCAAACCTCACTTTGTCCTCCTCTATTCGCACTGTGATTGACTTGATTATTTGCTTGCCATGCACGTCTCGCGATATTTCCACACGCGCCGCCCGTAGGTAGACTAGGCAGCAATGTCCGTGGCTGATTCACTTCTGACACGGTGGGCATCTTCGAGATGGCGCGTAGCGTTTGTCCCCCCCTCTGTGATTCAGATTAGTGGCGCACGCGTCAGCTCACTCGCGGTGGGAGCATTTGTCGCGGAGGCCAGCAGCAGGTAACGCGTAGCAATTAATATTCCAAAGGAGACGGGAAAAGGAAAATTAAAAAAAAAAGAAAGAAAAAAAATAAAAAATAAAATAAACCAAGAAAATATCGCCCTGCTTACACGTAACAAGCGAGGCAAGGACATTCCCGTCAGCCACGAGATTCAGTCCTCGCTGCCGGCGGACTTGTGCTTTGCGTCATTTCCTCGATCAAGACGTGCCCATTGCTCAAGGGGGGCCAAGGAGGAAAGCAAGAGAAACAGCAAAAACAGCAAAAGCAGCATTAGTGAGAAATCTAAACAATAGGAGTAGTAGAAGTAGCTAAAATAAATCTACGCAAGGAAGATGCACAGTCATTAGGACGGACGATAATCTGTGTGCGTACGTAGGCATCACCATCATGAAACACATCTTCAAATATATAGTATTGTCAACATCTCTGCGTAGCCCGTTTTATTTTTGATAGCCTAGTCTAACTAAATAGCAGTAAAATTAAGTACAATGCCTCATATGCGCACGCGCCGCCATCCATTTGTATACACACACACACACACACACACACACACACACACACACACACACACACATCTTCCCCCCTCCCCTCTCCCCTCTCCCCTCTATGCCAACGAGTTGACATAATAAGTCGGCAGCTGCGTGAGCACGTCGAAGCCGCCGGTGCCTACTCGGCCCAGCTTGCCCATCACCAGGCGGCTGCTAGGCGTCGTCAGGTCGTCCCAGTCGCCGTCCATCAGCGCATCCTTGAGGAAGCCGAGCGTAGTCTCGAAGCTCATCTTGGTAAAGGGGCTCACGTTGCCTCTCAGGCCCATGCGGCTAAAGGCTGTGAAGTCGCCGCCCCTCGTCATGTGGTCGGCAATCAGGTTGAGGTGGCGGTTGTCCACCTTGATGCCGTGGCCTCCAAAGACTGCAGACAGCTCCTGCACAATGTTGCTGCGGCACGCCTCCACGCCATAGACTTCCAGCACGGCAGCAATGTCGTTGGTCTGGATTCGGTGCGGGTCGATAAAGTCGCTGTACCGGTGCATCGCTCGGAGGTTGACTCCCGTGGTGTTGATGGCCGTCTTGCCCTTCTCCTGGGCCACCAAGCACGACTCAATGCCAGCCACTTGCTGCACCACCGTCTGGCGCACTGCGTCCTCGACAATGTTGAGCATGAGAACCTTGGGAATGTTGACGTCAAACTCGAGCGTTACATTACACCACTCGCCGCGCTTGTCGTCGCACTGGAAATCCGTAGCCTCCACGTAGTTCTTGAGCACACGCTCTTTTCGCGCCCTCGATGACCATAGCGTGCCGTCTTCATCGCTGTCCTCATCGCCTTGTTCCTTATCCACGCCATTTGAGCCAGCGGCGTTGTCGGCAGCCTCGTCATCTGAGTCGTCCTCCGCCCCTCTTGACATGTCCTTCTGAATCGCGTCATCGTCGTCGTCGTTGGGTCCATAGGAGACGGCCTGACCTCGGTTGGCTCGTCGCTTCGCCCCAGCAGCGTCATTGTCATCATCGTCATCGTCATCGTCGTCGTCCTCATCCGCGCCACGCTCTGGCGCTCCTTCGGCTCGGGCTGTCTCGACAGTTCCCACCTTGACACCAATTTCGGGAGTTCCCGTTGTTGTCTGGGTCTGGCGCTTCTTGACCTCCCTCTTCATGATTGCGAGGATGTTGCGCAGAAGCTTCTTCTCCACCGTGGTCATAATGTCCGAGACACTGACGGCGTAGGTGGCGGAGTACTCTGATGCCGGGAAAAACTTGAGATTGATCTTGTAGATCTTGGCAAGGCCGCGGAGCTTGCCCTTGCCCACCATTTCCTCAACCACGACACCGTCCAGCACCTGGCTCAAGCGTAGCACGCTGATAGACTTGGAGAAGACCTCGATATCCTGTTCTGATAGCTCGGCAATGGGGTATAGTGTCATTGCCGGCGTGGAAATCGTCTTACTGGCAGTCATCAAGATTTCTCTCAGACGGGGGATACCCAGAGTCACGTTCTTGGCTGAGTGACCAGCCAAATGGAAGGTATTCAGCGTCATCTGTGTAGATGGCTCACCGATAGACTGGCCGGCAACAATGCCGACGGCTTCTCCGGGCTCAACCAACGACCGCAGATACTTCATGGCGAAGAGCATCTCTGCATTCTTCTTGTTCAGCGTTACCTGGTTAGGATTAGAGACGGCCTTTTCTTGGCTGTTCTTTTCTCGCACGAGCCCATCGGGGTTTTCTTTCAGATATTCCGTCATGGCCTCGTAGAATGTCTCTGAAGTGGCAAATGCATTGGTCGCGGGATCGAAGCTGGCTGTCAGGGGGTCTTTTCCATTCGGGTCCTTGGCCTTGGCGTGCTTCACGGCGCTCTTCATGTATTTCTGGAACGCCTGGCGGTTGGCGCCAAGCCGCTCGCCTACCTTAGGATCGTACTTGAGCTGTGCCGCCTCCGAAGTCACGTTTTGCAGGATAAACTTGAAGTCTTTGAGGTAGTTTTGCTTCGTAATGTCCAATCCATCTTCACCGTACAGGAACTGAATTAGTGAGCCATCCGCATCTCTTACCGACGTGTCGTAAGAGACTGTAAGGCCTTCCATTCCCTTGATGATACAACGCTGCAGATAACCTGAGCGAGATGTCTTGACAGCCGTGTCAATCAAACCCTCACGTCCTGCCATGTGGTGAAAGTAGTATTCCTGTGGTCGAATTCCAGTCAAGAATCGGTTCACAATGTAACCACCGGCTCTAATGTTCGTCTCAAATGGTCGGAAGCAAGGCAGCGACTTTCCGCTAACCATTAGCGGTACACGTCTGCCTTCCAAGACCTGTTGTCCCAGGTTGCAGGAAATGAGGGAAGCGTTGACACGAGATCCCTTAGCACCGGAAGTAGTCATGGCCTGCATCTGGTTTTTGGGGAAGCTCTTCTCGAGGCCGTTGGGAATCAGCGCCTTCTGTACGGCGTCTGTAATGTCCTTTGTTCCCTGGTTCATCAAGAGATCGAGACCCTCCTGTTTGCTGTCGTCGCGCGTAACCTCCTCAAGACGCTCCAACAGGAGCGGATTCAGAGGATCTTGCTGGTTCTCTAGAGAGACATACTTGGCGGCAATGCCGAGTCCTAGATGGTCGGCCGCAACAAGCTCCCGTCGTCGTGCCGCCTCTCCCTCCGCCGTCAGCCTCAAGTCGTCCATTCCGCATGAAAATGCTCTCATGCTGAGGTATCTTGTGAGCAGACGGCCCAAGCTACTCAGCAGTTTGCCGGCAACAGACGGTCCGTATATCTCGTGCACGGCGTGTATCAAACCGCTTGAGCTGGGTCCGATCTGAGACTTGTCGAGAATTCCTGTTATGAATTCACCGTCTTGGATAAGCACAGTTCCTTCCTCTGAATTCTTGCCCCATTGCTCCGCCTTGAGTTGGGTGTTTTCACTCATGGTCAATCCTCCGCAGTTGGGTGGCCGTATATTTGCCAGAATTGTGCTGATGACCTGCTTTCCTGTCCATCTTGGCACCGGCTTGATGACGGCAGGTGGTGTAAGCTGGAGTCGCTCTCCCAGGATGTGGCCGCTTTCTGGGCGAAGGGCGCTGTAAACTAGCTGCTGGTAGTCACTGCGGGTGAAGAAAGTGTCTCGACTGCAAAGTGAGACGGAAACTGAAATGTGATCCTGAATCAGACCTCTCAGTGGCTTGCCTGCAGTGCCTGACAAGTACTGGTGGTCGGTATCGGCAATTTGCAATGCTTCTACACGAGCCACCTCGTTCTGTGGGAAATGCATGTTCATTTCGTCACCGTCAAAGTCGGCATTATAGGTGTTGCAGTTGGCGTAGTGCATTCGAATGGTCTTTTCACCCGGCAGAACGCGGACTCGGTGTCCCATGATGGACGGCTTATGCAGCGTAGGCTGACGGTTCATCAGGACAACGTCACCGTTGGTAAGATGACGGTGGACTTTCTTGTTCTTCATGCGAGCTGCGCTGCTGTTCGTCGGCGCCAAGAGCTGGTTGGCAAGAGAGATACGATCGTCCACCGACTTGTTGCGAAGGTTCACAATCTGACCGTTTTCATTCTCAATAGCGAAAGCTCCTGGCCACTTGTCTACACCATTGATGACAGCTTGCTGCATGTCCTTGAAGTTGTGGCTCGTCACAGGCTCGGGATAGGTCAGCTTCTTGGCAAAAACCGGAGGAACACCGATTTCGTTAGTTTCGATGTTGGGGTCTGGCGAAATAACACTTCTCGCAGCGTAGTTGACTCGCTTTCCCATCATGTTTTTGCGGAACAGACCTTCCTTCTTCTCAAGCAGCTGCTTGATTCCGTCCTCGTTTCGCGCCGCAGCTGCTCCTTGCACGGGATTCTTGTTTTTGTCAATCAGTGAGTTCACTGCATCTTGAAGTTCTGTCCAAGCTTGGTGCATGTTTGTAATGTCTGACCTCTTCTCTTCAAGAGCCTTGTAAACATGAGCAATCCTCGAGCAGCAGGCGAGGATGTTTTTATAAAGTCCATTTTGCTGAGCTTCAGAGATTTGTGAATCGCCTGTTCGGGCCTCTGGTCGGAAACGGTTGGGGGGCACCAGGATAACTTTGATAAAGAACATGTCAGGAGTGACTCTTGACGAGCTCTGTGTAGGAGGCTTGGCGTTGTACACGAGCGAGAGCAAATCTTGCTCCTTGTTGAATAGTTCCTCCAGTCGTGCCTTTACCTCCATTGAGCTGATATATCTCTGCGAATCCTCTCCAGCACCGGCATCATCGTCATCTGCGTCTCCCATTTCAATATCTTGGCTTTCGGGAGGAGGTGAAATTTCTGAGCCATTGATCTGAGTAACGCCGTTTTTGCCGCCCTTGGATTTCTTTGATGCCGAGCGGTTGTGGACTCGGGTCATGGCATCACCGAATTTAAGGGCCTTTTGTGCCATCTTTGCCTTTTCTTTCGTGGAGAGGGCCTTTTCGAAAACCTTGACAAATCGGTCCTTTCGGTACGTCGGGGAAATGCCGCCACAGCTAGAGCATGTTCTCTTCTTGATAATCTCGGTAAGGAATTCCTTGATGACTTCGCGGCGCATTTCATATGCGCCTTCATGCTTGCCTCGCTTGGCATCGCCCCTCTTCAGCTTGATGCCCTGAAGGCACTTGCGGACATATTTTTCTCTTTGTCGGGTGACGCTGTCGATGCTAGATTCCTCCTCCTCAGCCTCGCTGGGCCCATCTCCCAACGCCTCCTGGATTTCCACTGCTAGCTCGTTCTCTCCAATAGTAGCCACCATGTGGGCTTCACGAATAAGGCCGTGATGAAGCAGGCGCAATTGGCAGGTGTATTTGTGTAGATCCTTGGGAGGTAGACGGAAGCCCTTGCAGTAAACGCAGGTTGCACGGAGTAGTCGATATGCCTGGTCCATGAACACTGGGTGGTAGACGGGGACTGGGAGCTGGATATGACCTGGATGTCCCGGGCAGTTGGACTGATTCAGGTTGCAAGTAGCACATCTAGCAAGCAATTAGAAGCCTTGAATACGGTGCCAGCCAGAAGCATGACTATACTTACGGTGCATCGCCCCATGATCCCAGGGCCGGATCATACAGACCTCCCGGCACAGGATTCAGCAGGTTGTCAAAAGTGCTTTCATTCTCGATGCGCTTCACCGAGATGGCCTGGATCTCTTTGGCGGAGAGGAAGGTAAACTCCACGCTCTCCACCTCCGAGGCGACGGGCTGCGCAATATTCATGGTGAATTCAGGATCTTGGCTGAGCAACGGGCTGATCCTGGCGAGCTTGCTGAAGCCATGCCAATCTTTTACACAGGTCAATTGGTGAGCGCCGCCAGGACCACTAGAATTTTTTGGCGGTGGAACCGGGCAAAATTTTTAGTGTGGGTGGTGGGTAGGATGGCATCCCCACAGCAAGGCTACAGGACTAATGCAGTGCAGTGTCAGCTCCTCTGCCGCGAGAGCTACAGGCAATTATGCTGCAGTACCTAACCTCGCAGCAAATCTCTGTCCGCCTTTCGCAGCGTCACATTTCACCTTTCGTGGCCTGCAAAGCCTCGCCTTGCCCGTTTCTGTCACTCTCACCAGCGGAGTACGATTTATGAATTTACGATAAGAGAAAAAAAAAAAAACCCTATAGAGCTGCAAACGCTGCTGTCTTTGTTTCGAATTCGACGTACATAGATAGTCCTGCTGCGCGCGGGACCAGCGCTCTCGCCCAATGAGTCAACATTCACAGCCAGGAGGGCTTGGTCCTCAGCACGATGGCGCCTCGAGAATACAGAAGACAGAGTCCGCTGCGGACAGAATGGCTGCGCTCAAAGCTCGCGTTGCAGCCGCCATTGGCACGAGTAAAGCCAAAGGAGGATTGAATGTCGGACTGCATCCTGCTTTGGAAGACCTGGGGTCTTGGAAGCCAGCCGGCAAGGCAGATGCGGCAAACGGCCAGTCTCAGTCATTACGAGGCAGCCCATCTCGGGCCAGCGCATTCGATAAAAGAGGCTCACCGGACTCATTTGGAAGCCAGCAGAGAAACCAGTCGAACCCATATTTCGATGATAAGTCTGCTACACAGGAGCCGAGCGGGAGGCAGCGCATGCCTCGTCAGCTGGTGTTTAATCAAAAGGGAAAATATATCCAGCAGGGAAATGCTTTGCGTCGGCAGGCGGCCCTAGAGGCCATGAAAAAGCGCATCGCAGAGCAGACTCGTAAAGCTGGCATTGATGAAGATCTTGACGTGGAGAAGAATTTCGTCGTGGACGCTCCTCCAAATCTCGAGTGGTGGGATGAAGGCTTGGTCAATGGCTCAACTTACGACGACGTCGACGACCCTTCGAAGCTCAAGATACACGCTGACGATAGCATTGTGACCGAATACATCCAGCATCCAGTTGCACTCGAGCCTTATCAGGACCGACTTGGCGCGCCGGCGAAGCCAATGTATCTGACCTCGAAAGAACAAGCAAAAATACGGCGACAGAGGAGAATGGCAGAACTCAAGGAGATGCAAGCGAAAATTCGACTTGGACTGGTGCCAGCACCGCCACCTAAAGTCAAAAAGGGAAATCTCATGCGCGTATTAGGTGATGGTATGTTTCGCAATATCCCCATTTCTCTGAAATTTTTACGATTTGCGGCTTTGAAGATTGCATACTGACTATATCCATGACAGCTGCTGTCAAAGATCCCACTGCCGTTGAGGCACGAGTAAACCGAGAGATTGCCGACCGATACGAGAAGCACATCGAAGCCAACGAATCCCGCAAATTAACAAAGGAGCAGCAGCATGAGAAGACTGCTGCGAACCAACAGAAAGATGCTAACAAGGGCATCCACGTTCTGGTATTCAAAATCACAAGCCTTGCAAACGGCCAGCACCGCTACAAGATATGGCGTAACGCTGAACAGTTGGCGCTTTCGGGGACATGCGTCATGCATCCAAAATTCAGCCTCGTGATTGTTGAAGGGGGGCCGTATAGCATAAACAAGTACAAGAAGCTCATGCTGAATCGCATCAAGTGGACGGAAAACGTGCAAGCAAGAGACCCCGAGAGGAATAATAGAGGCGGACAAGAGTGGTTATCGCCCGAGGACTCCAACGGAGATTTGAAGGACATGTCTCTGAACGAGTGCAAATTAATATTTGAGGGAGAGCAAAAGGTGAGGAATTTCAAGAAATGGGGCAGCAAGATCTGCGAAACGGATGCCGAGGCCAGAGAGGTCTTGGCCCGCGCCAAAATGGACAGCTTTTGGTCTCTGGCCAAAGGATTCTCATGATGGACGTTGACGGCATGGCGCGTGCCATATGAAATGCTAGAAACAATACCAATGAAGGCCGGAAGCCGTATACACAGGCCACTCGCTCACTCGCCCATCCATACTGCACGATGTGCTCAGTGACCTACCTTACCTATATACCCATATAAATGTGTGCATTTGGCATTTTTACTGCGTTTAAAAAGCACAATATTTGATTGACTGATGCAAATAGACGCTTGTAAACGTAATATTAATAGGTATTTACTATTATTTCTTCATATTTACCTGAATTCAGCGATGGAGCTTGAGATGCAGCTAGCGCTCGTGTTGACATGTGATGAATGACATACTCTACACAAGGGCGTCAGCCAGCCAGCCACCCAGGCAAAACCTCGGCGGGTGCACGCATCCGTCTATCGTCCAGCCTCTGATCCTGTGACTTCCGACGCCCGCATGACGGAGCATTTCAACTGCGCTCCATTAGGCCAAGGACACTCACTACTCGATCCTACCTAGCACTGCTGCTACTACTACTCACTGCTGCATTTCCAAGAGCCGCATTGCTAGGCACCCGCCGCTGCCTTGTTCTCCAACTAACCCCACACGCCAAACTCGCCGTTCCGCGCGCTGAGAGGGAGACGGTTCCAGCTTCCTACAACACTCAAAACGCTCTCCAGACACCGCGCGCGGCCAGCCCAGCAAGCAAATCACTCGTCCCCGGTTTGTGTGGGAATCGGTTCGTTTCGTTTCGTAGAGAGAGAGAAAGAAAGAGAGAGAGAGAGAGAGAGAGAGAGAGAGAGACTCTTGCGTTCTTTGGAGCTCAGCAGCGATGGGCCTGGCTTACAATACATATCTCACCAGCAACAAGATCTATGGTTGCAAGACATGCAAGGCTCACTTAGCGAACCACGAGGACATCATCTCTCGGGTGCGTATTCCCCAGTCCCAAGGTCGTTTGTATTCATTCATCGCCATGGCATCGCCTCTCTGCACTGCACTCCATCCATCTGTCTATATGAAATACATGCCGTTCTCCCTGTTCTCAGGGCTAACTGGGAGGCGAACCCGTATTAGAACTTTCGTGGGCAGCATGGCAAAGCGTACCTGTTCCATCGAGTCGTCAACATTGACACGGGCGATCCAAATGAGCGAAATATGACTACTGGCCGACACATTGTTCGTGACATCGCCTGCCATCAGTGCAAAGAAACGGTGGGTTGGAAGTATGACAAGGCTTTTGAGACCTCTGAAAAGTACAAGGAGGGAAAATTCATCCTCGAAGCCGAACTGCTATGTAATGTTGCTTAACCGGGTCTGCGCTTTTTGATTTACTATACGTGCGATTCACTTGAAATTTGGTAGTTTGTTTTTTAGGCGTTGAGCATCTAGTTTCAGAGAGAAGCAATTTCTTTTTTGTTTCCTTCCTTTTATTTTGGGGGCTGGAGTGATGGTTTAAAGGGTCAAATTTTAGACAAAGCATCAGTTATTACTTGAGATCCTTTATCAAATCACCTATAATGTAATGTGTAATGTGTGATATTGTAAGTGTTGAACGAAAATTATCCTAAGCTAGCCGGGCACCCGCCAATACGCCAGAACCCATGAGACTAGACCAAAGATAAAAAAGATCAAACAAAGATCAATCTTAGCGAGAGCAGTGTATGCGTGAGTCGCCAAAAGCGCCATCCAGCAATCTACTGGTGTTCGATTGGCTCTTCGGGGAGCAGTTCCTCGGTTTCTCCATCCACTCGTAAGAACTCAAAAGGTGGCTGAACAATACCGTTGAACAAAAATGTCGAGTATACCAACAGCGCAAATCCAACAATCTGTAGCCATTTGAAAGATTCCCATCTCAGACCAAGAGAAACTACCCAGATAAAGAGCGTCCTGCAAGTGTCAATGGTAGATCGAGAGGTCGCACTGACGGTGCGAGTGACGGACAATCCGAAGAAGTTGAAGCCACTGGAAAGAGATCAGAATGTTAGCTATATAGTGCGTCTTGATGTAATGCGTAAACAGACGATTCGACTTACCCGATGCTAATCATGATAATCACACTGGAAATGAGCAACGCGCTGTCGTTGCACATTTGGCGGAGTCCTTCAGTGGCATCAAAGTAGCCATAGCGACCAGCCTCAGTCCGACCAATGGCCAAGTGCAGCACAAGCATAACCGCGACCGTGACGACGAAGCCAAAGATGCCCTCCCAGCCAACAACCTTGAGGGGATCGATGGGAGAGCGTTCGAGCATCCACTCCTCCAAGACAAATTGGGTGGCAGTGAATATTTGTGCTCCTGCAATCAGCGTAACGCCAATGACTGCCTTGGCAACATCGGACAGTCCATCGGGAGAATCTGTGATGGCAGACAGGCCTCTGGAGACGATGTTTGCCTTGACGTCTGGCCAAATAGCACCTGCGAGTCCAACAATAGCCACGCCAAGGACCACGCCCACTAATGAGATCCACTGGAACAAATGCAGCGTCCTCCGCAGGAACACTACGCTAAACAGACCCACGAACAAAACTAGCGCGCCTCGGGTCATCTGGTAAATGGACGCTGCAACGAGAAGCAGGCCAATGTTCATCAGGGTAGTGCCGCAAATATCGCAGATGGCAGGCAGGGCCAGCAGCAAGATTCTATAGCCGCGTAGAACGGATGGCTGGTCGTCCTCAGGGGCGTCGTCGTCAACGCCATCGGGCTGGCTGGAGCCGATGGTCTGGTAGCCATTCTCTGCGGGGGTTCGTTTCGATGCGAAGCGGCGATAGGCTGCCGTAAGAGCAACTACCAGCCAGCAGCCCATCTCGCCCACAAACATCTGCGCTGTCTGAATCACGGGTTGGTTGAAGTACATTCGACGGGCGGGATTCTCATCATCGCAATTGCGAACGCATTGCTTGTCCTGTAGCGTCCGTTAGGTCATGCGAAAACGACAACAACAAAGGCAGCAAACAAAGAGAAATGGACAGTGCTGAGGCACAGATAAGATTCTCTCATGATCCTTAGCATGCCGGCTTCCTCGCACGCACCTGGTATTTGGTGACCAGCGTATTGCAAACGCCAGTCAGCAGCATCATGGCCACGAGAAATGGCACGGTGCCGCGGGAAACCGCCATCTTGGCCGATGTGGTTTCTCGAGTGATAAAGATCCCGTCGCGCAAGGCCCGAGATGGTACAGATGGATTGGTATCGGGAAAAAAAAAAAAAGAGACGTTGAGATGTAGGAGACAGAGAACGGATGATGGGACGAGAAGGGAGCGAGCGAGCCGTAGCTGTGCCGTGCCCCGGATTATTGGCACAAGGCGCCCCTGCTTATCATGCACCAGGTGTCACTTGACTGCTGCCGCGCCGGCCGCAGGTGAGATCCCGGAAGGCTTTTAGTGCCGATGTTAGTGCTGTAACCCTGGATAACATAAGCTATTGAGCAGCTGAGCTGGCACCCTAGCAGCAATACATACTTACCAGCAGAAACAATCAAAGAAAAAAAATGCCCTAAGAAAGATATACTTCATCTTCTATTTTTTTTTTTCTTTTTTTTTCTTTCTTTCTTTCTTTTTTTTTTTTTTTTTTTTTTTTTTTTTTTTTTTTTTTTTAAGAATATCAAATTAATAATGCTAATAAATATCTGCAAGTATATTCTGAGCACCGAGGGTAGGCGATCTTAGCTGTAGGCAGCTATCTACACAACTCACAAGGCTGCCTGCTGTGCGGCCCTATCCGCTGCAAGCCGCGACCTATTTACTGCGGGTACAGCAGCCTAGCTGCCCAGTGAACCCACTATAGCAGCCTCTGTTCCTTTCACTGCCGCGACCTGCATAATCAGCCACGTCATAATGGCCACTCAACCAGCGCCCTTTGGCCCATGTGCTTTGCGCCGCGCTAGCCATCGTCATCCCCCTTCAACCTGCCTCGGGGCTGCACCGCGCAGCCTTGCATGAATCAAGCTCCATGGCGCCGCTGACGAGCATCTCAGGCGAGCGCCAGCCGTTTTCACTCCTCCACACACGTCCCTCTTGATGCTCGTCTTGTCCGCACCCTCGCATTCATGGAGCATACACTCGGCTCTGCCTGTCGCCTTCGTCCAACGCCAGACGCGGATAAGGAGGACGGAGCCCCCTGCATCAAGGCTCAGTTCTTCTATACGTCCCTGTTCCCCATTGACGATCCGCTGTCGAGCAGCGCTCCTGCTGGCGGTGCAGAATCGAAATCGAAAGCGCCCCTTCGCCCGTTCTCCCAGGACGACAACGATGTGCTCCAGCAGGCCTGGCTGGGCCTGACGTCGGAGAGCCACCGGATCCAGCATGACACCGTCAGAAGCGGTCGAGAACCTGCCCCAGCAACGGTCAAGTCTGACGTGGAACGACGCGACCAAATCATACGGGAACTGGCCTCGAGGCATCTTCGCATCCACCAGGCCAACCAGCAGACACAAGCTTCCACGACGCAAGCGACCGAGGCACTCCCCGAAACACTGCTTACAGCCTGCTGCCCTAAACTCGCCGCCGACATCCTAGAAGAGCTTGATACGCAATTTTGTGCTTTAGTGAGAAAGTCGAATCAGCGTTTTACTGTCGATGAGGTCGTAAAGGATATCATTGCCGTCATGAACCAGCGTCACGAGCCGAGAAACGTCGCTAGCAGTCTCCGGGATATCCCCATACGCCACCCTCTGTTGACTCGTGATAGAGAGGCCAGCATCTCTACTGGTCGCGCTTCTCCTTCGGATAGTGCTGTATCATCATCCTTTGGAGAGCACATGAATCTGAAACCTCGTAGTGACTCTTACAAGCAAGCATCGGGTTTCCCCCAGGAGCGTATTCTGCCTGATGCATCTCGCGCTGCTCAAACGTCACAGAATCGGCTGTCTCGAGAGCTTAAAATATCTGGACTAGTCCCTACAACTGATGATGGCATTTCCGGAAGACCATTTGTGAGGGCATTGGAGACTGAAGAGCAACCACAGCAGATGGTGGAAGCAAAACAGCAACGTAGTGATGTTCAAACTTTAGAAACGCCGCAGATCCACTACAAAGCGGCTGAGGGGAACGATGAAGTAGCAACAGAGCCGTTAACTCGAATAGAGGACACCACTCCGGATCTTGACGAGGAAGACACGGATGTCGTAGTTGGACTGGCTAGATTGCACAAGGTATCATTGCACACATTACAGATGAAGCCCATATACTGGTCGCCAGTTAACGACATCGCCATTGTAACGAGAGGCACATGGTTTTACAAGTATGTTCTCCGCTGTCTATTCATTCTTTGAGTTACTAACTCGCCTCGCAGAGATACCATGCTACCGGTTCCCCCAGCAGTTGCGAATCAGCTAGAAGCCGGATACCAGGAACTGCGTCCTTGGGCGGAAACTTGGCGTGACGAAGTACGGTGTGCTATTGAAGTTGGGGCCTCGGGAGAGGAAAAGGTGTCTCATCGACTATGGCCGACTGAAGGCGATGGACAGTATCGGAATTCCCCCATACCAACAGAGCCTGCTATTTCCGCACATCCGTTTTGCGCGGCACACTGCTTTCAAGGCGAGGCTGCGACGGAAGGCTCCCTCGAGCCGCGGCAAGTAGACAACGAGGCTTCCGAGAATGCACAGCAACGCCCCTACTCTAGCTACAGTGTCCTATACAAGGATCAAACAAAGGCCTTCTTACTAAAGCCGAGCTTACAGCCATCTGCCTATTACGGTAGACGGCCTCTTCAAAGGATCATGAGAGGCGGGACCGTGGGCATTCCGGTGGTCCGAGGATTTGATAGACTGAGATGGGAACGCATGCACCGTGGGAAGCAGGTGCAACATGCCAAACCTGCATCTCATGCCACCTCCGATGGCAGTCCACGGGAAACCTGCCCTGCATGCGAAGCGGATAAAGACCGCAGTAAGGTGACAGACTTGGTGCTGGTAGCCCACGGAATTGGCCAAAAGATAGCTGAGAGGGTTGAAAGCTATCACTTTACACACGCCGTCAATAGCTTCCGTCGAATGGTGGACAGCGAGTTTCAAAACCCGGCGGTGCAAGAAGTCCTGGATAACAGCCAGAGCAGACTCATGGTTTTGCCACTCAACTGGAGAATTGGGCTATCCTTTGAAGATGGCGGCCATCTTCAGACGGGAATGGAGACGAATGATTCGGCTGCAGCACAGGCCTTTGGTCTGAAGGACATTGAGCCCAGCACCATTCCCGCGATAAGGAGCATGATATCGGATGTCATGTTCGATATACCCTTCTACATGTCTCACCACAAGGGAAAGATGATTGCAGCTCTAGTCAAGGAGGCGAACCGAGTATACCGTCTGTGGTGTAAGAACAACCCCGGGTTTGCCGAAAATGGACGTGTCCATCTGGTTGCTCATTCTCTCGGTAGTGTCATGGCGGTAGAAGTCTTGTCACGGCAGCCAACGGATCTGCCACCGCTTGATCTTTTACGGCCAGAGCCAGAAACCAGATTCTTCGAGTTCGATACGAGGAACCTCTTCCTGATGGGAAGTCCCACTGGATTCTTCTTATTGCTCGAGCGAGGAGCTCTTACACCACGACGTGGACGCGTCAAACCTGGCATGGATGAAAACGAGGTTAAGACCGAAAATATCGGTGGTGAGATTGGAATGTTTGGGTGCTTGGCCGTCGACAATATCTACAATATTCTTGCCAAAGAGGACCCCATTGCCTACTTGCTCAATGGGACGGTAGATCCGGCATATGCGGCCAGCCTCAAAACAGCATATGTGCCTACTTCTTCGGCTTCGTTTCTGAAAACTGTTGGCGATGCCATGCGTACCGTTGTCATGGGTATGGCTGGCAATCCTACCACATCCACGACTGGTGATGGCCGCCCATCGACTGTGCGGCTGCCCTCTCAGCTAGAACTTGAAGTCCATGACTTCACCAGAGAGGAAATTGCCGAGAAGAAGGCCTTTCTTCTTAATGATAACGGCCAGATCGACTGGTTTATCCGATCTGGTGGCGGTCCGCTGGAGATTCAGTATTTGAATATGCTGAGCGCTCATAGTAGCTACTGGAGTAATACGGACTTTATCCGAATGTTGTGCATTGAGATTGGCAGGAAACCGGGCAGAGCGAACACGTTGCCTGCTATGAGAGCTGTCAAAGCCTCTAGGCGCATTATACCCACCACGAGATGAGTCGACTGAGTTGGCACGTTATACATGTGCTGTGATACCCCCCCACTCTAGCTGTCTATTATCTTTTTGCGTTGGTGCTACCTATTGCGGGTATACTTTCTAAATATTTTTACCATTTTGCAGGATTTCAGTGGTTTAGAATGGAAAAGTCGTGATGGATTTAGAGACTACCTATGGTAAAAGATATGATATGATGGATTGTACTGACGTAATGAATAACTAGCGAATGATTAATGTATAGACTTATTATAACCCAGATTCCAAGAAAGAAGGAAAGAAAGATAGATAGAAAAGGCAATTAGCCAGAGAATCAGACATCTCACCCTCTAACCGCTCTGCACGGTCCGAACTCCTTAGAAGCCTTCCAACTCCATCATTTCTTGATCAATGTCTTCATAATCAGATTCATACGTAGTAGTCATGTTTTCATTAGCGGCTGCTCGTGAATTTGCCATGGCCGGAGGGGGTTCATCCCCCCTTTCTTCTTCCACCTTTCTCTGGTGTTGCAACAGGTCTTCGTACCCCCAGGTACTGATGCCTTCCTGGTCTTTACTCCGGAATGGTTGCGCCATTGTCTTCAAAAATCGTCGAGCACTACTAACCGCCATATCGGTACTCAGATTCGTATCGGCATCCGACAAGCCCTGGTTGATCCATTTAGGTAGCTGGCTCCTCTTCTTCTGGAAACGTCGATCGGCCAGCACCATGACTCCATAGTCGTCTTTGCCTCTCAAGACACGGCCTAGGCACTGGGCAGCGTGGCGCATGGCGTCAAAGGACAAGAAATCGTTTTCTTTAATGCGATATGTTTCTCGCAAAAACTCAAGCCTTGCTTTCAGGATTCTTGATTCTGTGTACTGAAACGGAACGCCGATACAGAGCACGGTTCGGCCGTATTGGTGATCGAAATCGATACCCTCTGATACTTTCCCGCGAGCGACGCAAAGTAGAATTGCTCCTCTTCCATTGCAACAGGCAGTTCGGTATGTTTCTAGGGCCAGTGATGTTTCTTGCGCATCGGGAGTTTCCACCAGGATCAGTTTATACTTCCAAACCTCGTCGAGAATGCCCATGCCCTGCCACATGCTAATGATGGATTCCATGTATAGATATGACGGGAAGAAGACAACCAGGCCGTCAGGGGTAATTTTGGCAAATTCTGTGAGGAGATTGCCGTAGTTTCGAACAACACTGGGTTCATTTCGAACCTGAAAGCTGGATGAGACCGAAGCCTGGTCGCTTCCGCGAGTTACAATCATCGGAAGGAAAGATCTCCGCGCAAGCGTCATACTATATGACTCTTGTATTACCGTAGCGAAATCCAGCATTTTAGGATACATTTCAAGTGGCGAGATAGTACCAGAGGTTATGATCACCGAGTAGAACCTTTCAAATACAGGTCGGATGGCGATGGCGGCGTCAAGGCAGGTAAAGTGAAGAGTGGGATTTGGGACTTCGGCGGTATCGGATTCGTATGGCTCTAATATGAGCAAGAAACCCTTCTCATATGTCGCAACGAGAGTAGCGAATGTTGCTACTTCTTGGAGAGCTTGGTAGTCTTCAATATTCATAAGCTCAAGGGTCCTGACCAGCGACGTTAACCGTTCGGCACAAAATCGCAACGGCTTCCTCTCGATGAAAGTATGTTCTTTCAAGTGAGCCAAAAATGATAATGGTGTTTCCGAGATGACTTGACGGACTTTCATTCTCGTCTAAGGTGAAATAAATCAGTGAGGATGAACACACAGAAATAAATACGAAATACTGAACTGACCTTGAGATATTCAAGAAATCTTTTCAAAAAGGCTACAAAATGCTCGGCTCGCCTGATATTTCCAGGAACAGCTTCTTTCAGAAGATCATCGGGCAGAGCTATGATATTGTGTTGGTTATTTTATGATGCATGATAAATAATAATCCAACCTGGAAACGGCGTCAATTTACCTGGATTGGCCATGAAGGCATCTTCCTGCCTTGACTCATCAGCTTCCCGAAGCCCTTGAACAAGCTTTTCGTATTCATTCTGAAGCTGCTCTTGATCGGTCTCTCTCATCTCAGCAATTCGTCGCTCTAGGTGCTGTGCGCTGCGAGTAGCTTTGCGTATTGAGTCTTCAGTGATGTCGGTACTAAGTGACTCGATGCAGACGTTGTCAATGTTGTGAGCTTCGTCAAAGACTACAATACAATCCTTGGAGAAGTCTTTCGTTACACGCTCAGCAATCTTTGGATCGAGGAGATAGTGATATGAGAAGATGACAACATTACAATATTGCATCTATTTGCCAATGTCAGAAGCAATTCTTGCAGAATGGATGTCAAAATAGGGCAGTACCATGCGCCGTGCAGTAAAATATGGACACTGCTTGTGCTCTTCTCCATACTTTAGGAGCGCATCAAATGACCATACGCCGTTGGGTATCAAGTTATGCGGTTCAAGGAGATCAAGATTCTGAACTACGTTAGTTTGGGGTTCATCGATTCAGCATGTCAACAAAAACAACAAAACAACAAAAACAACGGACATACATCGTGATAGACGCAGACATCCACATTTTCACCTCGATCTTTCTTTTCTTTGACAAAGCCTGCAGTCAAACTTCTGCAACGTGCATCAACAACCGAGCCACTTTTTTCCCTTTTGACAGAGGGATGAAGGCACAAGTTCTTTCGACTTGTTAGACCAAGGCCGCGAAACTCTTCTTCATAGCCCAACTGTTCGGCGCGATACTTCATCAGAGATTGCAGCTCGACTAAAGCCTTCTCGATCTCCGACATTGTTCCTGTCGGCCATGTCAGCATCACTCAACCAGCGAGACGCCGTGAGGGCTGCCCACGTGAACAATAGATGAGCTTTCGCTTCTCGGGCATATGCTGCTGGTACGCAACAATGAGAGATAGCAGTGACACGGTCTTGCCGGTTCCTGACGGCATTTCCAGGACACAATGGCCACCCGCATCGAGGGTTTCTGTGACCTGTAAGTGGCTGATCACACAGGGTAGAATCTAGGTTATACTTTTCAGATCACACATGTAGCTGGTAGAGTTTGCCAATGGTCAGCTGGCATTAAAGGAAAAAAAAAACCCCCCCCCATACAAATCAACTCACGCATATTGTTCGTTGGGTATGTTAGCTAGGTATGTATACACAGCAAGGGCGTGCATGGGAGCGTTGGGAACATACCTGGATATATCCTTGGATAAGGAAATAACACAGGCAAATCACTAGTCACACATGAGCTTCAATACACGCATCGTGAGCTGGACGAGCGTACTCTATTTTAAATCTCATTTTGCACTAGAGCTCTGCGTGAAGCCGTGCAGCAGTCGAGGGAAGAAGCGCAGGTGAGCGATGGATGGATGGATCACGGCGTAGGAGCTTTCACGCTACCTTGTGCCTAATTAGTAAAGCTTTCAGAGTTGAGTTGCGTCGATTGGCGAGTCAAACGCACGCGCTGCGCAATAGCGCGGTATCTTAGGCAGGTAGAATTTAAAAGTGGAATTAAATACACCCGCCGACCGCGAGATGCACTAACACGTGATGGAAGGCAGCCCATCAAGGGAGCTGGGGCTCAGCAATGCAAAATAACAAATGCATATATTGCGCTCACCATTCATTGGAGCTATTTGATGCCATTTCATCCATTGGATAACATGGTTTGTGATTCCTTTCTCTCTCTTACGCCTGTAATTGTCTTATTTCTACTTGTATATACTTTAGTGTATTTTTTACAACATTACGCTTTAAATTAAAATGCACATTTACATAGCTCAAGGCTTATTTAGGATCTTGATTGCATCCTTTGAGAAGATATAGCTCGCTCCGCTCCAAATGGTAGTAGTAGCCACGATGTACCTAAAAGTCCTGTGAGCAAAAATGCAAGCAAAAGAGTGTTTGATGGGTGGTGGTTGATTCCTCAAGACTTACTGCATAATGGTGAGTGTCGGTGCTAAATCAACGCTCAAAATCGGCGCTGCGGTTGTCAGACCGACCAAGGCCAACTGAAGAAAGGTGTTGTATTTGCTGATTGTGGTAGGTCGAACTTCGGCTGATGGCAGTGAAAAGTCCCAGTATCGTGAAAACGTTTTAGGCGGCGGCAATGAAATCCAGCGAAAGTAAATGGCTGAAATAGCTAACCCAACATCCCTGCCGAGGATAATGCTAGCAACCCACACTGATAAAGGCCAGGCGTCAATCAAATAGTCCCAGTAAAGCCTCATGGATTTAGAATTCGCTTTTCACGTACCTGGCAATGCTCCCTTGACGGCCAGGCAAACCGTCAATATGGTCATGAGAATTTTATCCGCCATTGGATCAATAATCGTCCCTACAACTGTTCTGCGGTTCCATCTCCTCGCTATCCATCCGTCAACCAAATCTGAAAGGCCAGCGTATGCCAGCAAGCCTACAGCCCAGGTATTCGCATCTTGTAATATGAGGTATCCTATGACTGGGCTTGCAGCTATTCGTGTCACAGTAAGGAAATTCGGTATTGTGTATATGTCCTCGTGGATAGACGGAGCGGATTTCGGTTTCTCTGCTACCTCTTTATCTGTGTTGCTACTTGCTTGGTGGCGGAGTCGCTTGACAATGCGAGAATTGTACGGTACAGGCGAGCTACGAGAGAAGAGTTAACACGACAGTCGGTATTTCAAATGCAAATAGTAGGGGGCTGTATATCTAGGCATGAACACATGGTTCTTCTGCTTGGCACGTATATATACATGTAATAAGCTGGAGTTCCTTACATGTCTCTTTTCAGCGGATGGTTCCTTGAACCCACTGATGCTGTTGACCAGATACATCGCCTACACAAGGCAATTGGCCGTGCCGCAAGCCTCGAATGAAGCTGTATTGGCCTCAGAGTACGAGAGGGCAGCATGACGAGAAGCGTTATAGCATGTGCTCGTTGATTGTACCACCATCACGATGAAATTGTTGTGTATAGCCTGAGCCTGATTGTTTAAGCGCCGATATCGATAAGAAGCACCCGTAGTACGCTAGAGCCTTGAGTCTAGTACATTTTTGGATGAACATATTTAATTAATCTTTTTTCTTAAATCATAACTGCCCACTAAACATAAAATAACGTATGTACAAATTAAAAAAAGAAAAAAAAAACATACAACAGCCGGTGTTCGCCAGTGGTCACCCACCTGACTACTAATCTGCCGGTTAGTGGCTTGTCTATGGGGGAGCAGAC